CGTCTCCGCGCACCAGTGCACCCTCCCGTGCGGGACACGCCGGTAGCCCCGCGGAAAGTGGGGCCCGGGTTGACGAAGGCCTCGCGGAGCAGGGACCGCGGTGCCCCGGACCGCTCTCCCCTCCCGCTGCGGGCGCCGGCCGGCCCGGTCACTGCGTGGTCACTGTGTGGTCACTGCGTGCTCACTGCGTGGCGGGCACCGGAGGAGCTGCGGGGGCCCGGGCGTCGGTGCCAGGAGAGGGCTCGGTGGGAGCCAGACACCCCAGAGCACGAGGCGCTACTGGGGCGGGCCGTGTGGCGACTGTGGAAACACCCGAGCGCCCGGCGCCCCCAGGCCCAGCCAGGGCCCAGGTGACGTCGTGCACCGTGACCAGCTCCTGAGCGTGGCCGGGCCACCAGGCTGCTGGGCCCACGCGGTGCGGGTGACCCCCAGCGAAGCCCGCCGGGCGAGGCGCAGGTCGCCGGGAGGCCGCAGGGGGCGCCCGTGAGCCCCCACAGAGTCCTCTGGGGAACGTGCAGGTCTCTGGATGCCCAGCAGGGGGCGCCCGCCACGCCAGGCCAGGAATTGGCAATGTGCTGGAAGCCACTTCTGTGAAACCTGGCGGGCGGGCACAGGGGCTCACATGGGCTGGCCTGGGGGGCAGCAGCTGGGGGCCTGTGCCAGGAGTTTTCTCCTGATGCCATTTTCCTGGAAAGCATTGCGTATTGGTGCCTCTGCCACGACATGTAAATGCCGAGCAGTAAGTAGGTGACCGGGCCTTCAGGGCCAGACAGCGCTGCTGGCCTCCTGGGACGCAGTTACTGTCCCATGTGATCTGAGTCACGGACAGGCCAGTGGTGTGAGGGCACCTGGCAGGCTGGTCACCTCACCAAGCTGCTCCGCACCGACCCGCACCTTCAGCAAGCCCTGCCCAGGGGAGAGCTAGCCAGCCAGCTGCTGACCGCCAGCACATCCCTCGGCTCACATCAGCACCCACGCGCTGGGTGTGGAATACTATACAGCGGCGAACATGAGCCACGGCCTAGTGCGTCAACACAGGGAGGTTGCTGAAGACGGAGCAAACGAGCCCCGAACAGGCCCCGGGCGGCTGCTGCAGCCGCACCATCGGGGCACGGGCAGAGCGCTCGCCTCACCTGGGGTGGGCCAGGTGTGTGAGGGGAGCACCGGAATCCTTAGCGTAAGTGTACGGGTGCTGGCCAGCTCTGGTGGGGAGCCACCCGCGAGCTCTCGGGGACACTTGCGGCTGCACAGGGGCGGGCGTTAGGTCACCTGTTCCGACAGCTGTCGTCTCTAGGCGCCCGGCTGTGTGACGCGCCGTCAGGGCACAGCGCGGCACTCGGGGGGGGGGGAGGCAGACCGGGAGCGACCCCCACCTGTCACCCCCGGGCTTGCGCCGTAACTTTCTAGAACCTCTGTGGGGACAACGAACTGCCCCTCCCGTGGCAATCGGGCTTCGTGGGCAGGACACCGCCCTGCCACGGCGGTGTGGGGCCTGGGACAGCGAGGTAGTCCTGAGCCCCGGGCGGGCTCTGGCCCATGGGCAGCCGGGCCGTGGGCCTGCCAGGTGCCCGACGTCTCGGGTCAGCGGCTTGGCCAGCTGCTGTGGAGTATTAAGAGCTTGGCCTCAACGAGGCATCCTGAGGGCGTCCTGCCCAGGCGCTGACCCCACGCTCGGACTCGGGCGGGACGAGGTTGGTCGCCAAGACTGGGTCGGGCAGGGGACACAGCTCCGTGCTCCAGGGTCAGGGAGGGGCCGGCACAAGCACCCGTCACCCGCGGCCGCCTCCCCGCAGGCCCTGCTCTGGCCACGAACACGCCTCTGGTCTGTGACTGCGGCTCGGGCTTCAGCAAGGTGGGCTTCGCGGGCATGGACGCGCCCCTGGTCGTGTTCCCCACCATGCTCGGGAGGCTCCGGCACAACGTGAGTGACCACGTCCTCCCAGCGGCACCGGGCCCCCCAGCCCCCCCACGCCGCGGGGGCCCGCAGAGCCCGAGAGCTGTGGCCGTGACGAGCGGCGATGCCGGGGCGCTGGCGGTGCAAACCCAGAGGCCCAGGCCCAGCCGGACGGCGGCTGACGGGGCTGCGGTGGCCAGGCCGCGCTGGGCTTGGGCCGTGACGCGAGCGGGAGACACCCGGGAGCCGGCGCACACAGCCGCCGCGCCCCTCCAGGGTAGCCTGCTGCACACACGCGCCACACAGCCCCGCGGGAGCTCCGGGAGGGAGCGGACGGTGGCGTGTGCCCGCCTGAAAGGCCCCTGCCGCTGGGCTGCGCGAGCGTGGCCTGTGCGCCAGGTCTTCCCGCTTCTGCAGAGCACCTGGAATGTCAGGCGGTTAAACTTTGCGTAAGTCACCCAGCGAAGTCTCCCCCTTCACCCCTTAGGTGTCTGTGCCCCAGAAAAGCAGCCATCGTCCCCGACGTCCCAGACGTTCTCACTCCCGAGCTGAAACTGCCCCTGTGAAGCACCCCCACCCCTCTCCAGGCCCACAGCTCCCCTTCCACTCTCAGTAGGAAACAGGCGGAACTCGGGCCTCGCTCTCTGGGTCCTGACCTCGGTGGGGCTCGGCATTTGTCCCTAGGCGCTGGCTCTCTCAGGAGCCGTGCCCTCCAGGCCCCTCCATGTTGGCGCAGGGGCAGGGGTGCCCTTCCTTTTCAGGGCTGAATAGTATTCCACCCGTGCACGGGCCGCCTTGTTTATCCATCACCCGTCCATGGACATTTGGGCTACTTCTACATTTAACGACTGTGAATAGCACTCTGGGTGGGGAGGAGGCGGTGTCTGTTTGAGGCTCCACTTTTAGTTCTCTGGGGCGTCGTCCAGAGGTGGGATTGCTGGGTGACAGGCAATTGGTATTAAAGAAACTCCCACGTTAGCACCCAAATTTGAAGCGTTACCTGGAGTCCTGCGCAGCCCAGACAGAGCCTCAGGGGAGGTGCCACGCCCCCCGTGCTGCCCCGGGTGGGGCGCCACCTTGCCCCTCAGCTGGTGTGTCCTTGCCCAGACGCCCTCGCCCTGGGGCCCGCGCTCTGCTCCTCTCCAGCCTCCCGCTCGCCCTCTGCACGCAGCCGGCGGCATGGCTGTGGTGACCGTGTCAGCCTCGTGCTGGGCGCAGACGCTGACCCCATGCCCAGCAAGCAGGTGGGGCTGCAAAGTAGGCTGCAGGTGCGGGATCACCGCAAAGACACGGTGACCAAGATGGACAGCGAGGACAGTGCCCAGCTCCGCCACTAGGTCTCACCTCCTTCCTGTGGGCTTCGCCCGCTCAGGCTCTCGTCTGCTCCCAGACCCGCGCTCGGGAGCCCCCCTGCGCCTGCGTCTCGCCACCGAGACGGCAGTGAGGCCACTGGTGTGGCC